ACTATATGGTGACATTCATAATAATAGAATGTTCTTTGTACAAGAGTCACAAGTTTTGATTGAAAGTCGATTCAGTCTCCAGCGATCATTATATGACGCGTGGCCTTTTTTTTTTTTTTTGTGCGTTCGTCTTATTTGTCTTCATCTAGATCTTACGTGGCCAGAATTCTATCCCAACAAAAACTTTTGTCTGTTTTCAATTCATTATAATCCTTTTGCGAACAAAGCTCAGCTGTTGACTCAGCAATCGACCAAAATATAATTTTAAATTTTTATACATTTCCAACTAGGTAATGAGACATTAATCTTTGTTAAAGTGCACTGCGTACTTTGATAGTAATATCATGTCTGGCATCCAAAATACTAAAGCTACGTTGAGTAAAATTTTTGAGCAACCATCCCATATTTAGTCAAGAGTGCCTTTTTTTAATTACGGTAAAAAGTTAGAGGAAAATGCAACACTAACCTACTAATATGTCGTGTTAAAGTGCATGTAAATATTGGTACCGTTTAAGCTCGAATGAATTGCATCGTGTTCAGCTTGGCAAAGCTAACAAGGACAAACCTAGAACGCACGATTTTGTTTCAATCTGAGGCGGTACTCCGCAACTGCAATTGTTACCTATCCGTTGCTGACTTCGAAATCGGATTTTTGTTCCACTGACACAACTGATCCAAGATCCCGAACTTTCCCAGTGACAGGTGTCACATCAGAAATTTCACACAAATGTGGGTCTGCACCAGCTTTAGCAGAGGAAAGTAGCCCGAGAAATATCCCGATTAAGGCTGCTGGTTTCCTATTGTCCTTCGCTATCACGCTAGAAACATTGAAAATTTAGATTCCTCTTTTATCGACCAATTTCGGGTTAATATTGGCATTAGTGTTGCTCTTGGCCCAAGTAGAAAATCAAAGTTGAGATGAAACCACACCTGTTTTTAACTACTCTTCAAAAGAAGCTTATTGACTTTATAGAAACCTAAATATTTCCGCAAATACGGGAGTGTCACTCTTAAACTAAATGTTATTAGCTGCTTTTTGTTTGTTTGTCTCTTTGTTTGTCTGTTTGTTTGTCTGTTTGTTTGTTTGTTTGTTTTTTTTGTTTATATAATAATTGCGAAAAAGTGTCTAATTCTACTTAAAGGAAGCTGAAATAACCTTCTTTACATATTTGACCATATATGGAAGTTTAGGGAGTCACTGGCTCCTAACCAATCGTATCTTGTTATTCTGTACTACGTTACGCAAATGGACCAATCAAAGTTGAGTGTTGGCGACACACCTCCAAACTAAAATATAACATAAAATCTGCAGACCCCGGTTGTTCGATGGGTGGATAACGCTATCCATTGGATAATGCATAGCATGTTTTCTCAATATTTAACATCTGGATAGTTTTTTATCCATTGGATAGAATTACCCACCCTTCATAAACCTGACGCCATATGTGTCACAAAGTTACGCATAAGACTAAGAAAATGACTCACATTACTTCCTTTCCCTCAAGATGTCATACGCAGTGGCTCCTTCTTGCATTTCTTCCGCCTCCATTAGATAGTAAAATTATTTCTCGGAAGAAACTCGAATTGGGCTGCACTTGGCCATGTAGTAATTATGCAAGTTATTCCGTACGCATACGTACTTTAACCGCATCTTCGTACTGTGCCATAAGGCCACCGAGTTCAAACCTCTCTATTTCGTTCAGTTTTCTCGATTTTACGGTCTTGATGTTGCGTTAAGAATTGTTAAGTTTAGGGTTAGTTTTCTCGAAGCCTTCGCGAAGGTATTTTGATTAAAAGGTTTCATTTTACATGGTTTGTCACAGTTCGCAACAACAAAAACAAAAACATGGGTAATCATTGATTACGCGACTCAAAACATGCCCAAAAAACTAAAAGCTTAATTAAGTTTGCATTTAAAAATTGCTCCGAATCAGTAGAAATTATTGACAAACCGTGAAATTTTATTTACTGCATGTC